GCATATATTCTCACAAGGGGTCTGAGGATCTCATTTTGGTACCTAATGGCAGCCATGCTACCTCAGGCGAGCACATGGAGGGCTGTGCGGCAAAGAAATGCCACCCCACACCAATACTGGCCCACTGCCAAACCAGTCATGCTGGAGGATGTTGCAGGCAGCAGAACATTCTCCAGACTCTGTCACTTCTGTCACATGCTCAGTGTGAACTTGCTTTCATCTGTGAAGGGCACCAGTGGTGAATTTGCCAATCTTGGTGTTTTCTTGCAGATGCCAAATGACCTGCAGGGTTTTTGGCTGTTAGCACAAGCCCTACCTGTGGACGTCGGGCTGTCATAACTCCCTCATTGAGTCTGTTTCTGACCGTTTGAGCAGACACATTCACATTTGTGGCCAGGTGGACGTTATTTTACAGGGCTCTGGCAGAGGTAGCGGTCCTGCTGCCAGGTTGTTGCACTCCTAAAGCCTTCTCCATGCCTCCTGATGTACTGGCCTGTCTCCTAGTAGCGCCTTCATGTTCTGGACACTGACAAGGCAAACCTTCTTGCCACAGCTCGCATTGATGTGCCATCCTGGATGAGCTGCACTACCTGAGCCACTTGTGTGGGTTGTAGACTCCGTCTCCTCTGTCTCTTAAGTGTTCCCTTTATTTTTTTGAGCAGTGTATGATTTGCTCATCCCCCAATGACGATTGGGTTAAGGCGTGGGTTTGTTGGCGCTGCTCTTTTTAAAAATTGTACATTTTTGTACAACTAAACTTGTTGAATTAACCACCAAGCTGACAAAAAGTAAAACAGTTACGTTTTCTCATGAGATCAGCCCAAAATATCGCATTTTGCATTCAACAGAAGAAAGAAACTCATAAAGGTTTAAAACCACACGAGGGAGAGTAAATTATGAGGTCCTTTTCATTTTTGACTGAACTATCCTTTTAATGTATTAAAATGTAAAGTTTTCGCAAACCTATTTTACAAGCGACACTGGTGGCCATCAAGTAAACAACAATCAAATCCTGAACAATTTATAAATTTGATGCATCATAGAACAGAAGAGAGTCTCTCTGGAGTGTTTAAACCACTTAAACTCTGCGGACCCGGTACCGGGTCCGTGACGTCATCGACTTTCGCTTTCAGATTTAAAAGGCTAGCGTTGCACCAGACCCCCGTAAGTTGTGTCGTTTGAAAGTGTAGAATCTATATGTTATGCACATAAGCATCGCTTTGGTTTTTACTGTATAAAAGTTATTTACACTTAAATACACAGTATTTTGGATACCCGAGCTAGGTATTTTACATTTGGGTCATTTTCATATTTTTTTACATGACACATGTACAAGTTATAGCTCAAATGAAAGCTGTTGCCGGTGCTCATACAGTTCTAACATTCTTTTTACTGAATTATATTCATATGCCAAACAGTTGTTGAGTGAATTGTGGTGTTTCCATAGCGCAGAAATGTAAACAATACATTTATGATCAATAAGCAGCCCCAGATAGCACAGACAGCTGTCATCTCTTACCTTATGCTGTGCCCTTCAGAGCCATTCTCTTCTGTTTTTGAGGTGATGTGCATAAATAATCCTTTTATATGTCTGATGTGGTCCAAAAACAGTGAATTATGTTTGATCAAACAAAAGAATAGTGAAATATGTAAACAAGGATCGGTCTCTGTGGCCTGTACAGCACCTCTCATCAGTTGGAATGCAATAACTTTTGCATAGATTATGGTAGAGACCTTTTTCTTTTTTCCTATGATTACAGACATGTGCAGGAACCACCAAAATTAATTACAGCACGCTAGAGCACACAGAACCTAAAAGGTACACTTTCAAATTTGAGTTTATAAAAAAAAAATACAAAAAGTGCCACTTTTTTTAGGTGTTTATTATAACACAGACAACATATACAGTTATTTTAAACACTTTCAATAGTGTTTTATGAAAATTCAAAGGGTTTTCTTTAAAATGATACCAAATTTTTGCATTTACACCTCTTTATGTGGATTTGGGAAGCTTTTAAATTTGGGTAGGCAAAATCCAGGCGGAAATCCCCAAATAGCAGCAGAGTTTAAGTGGTTAAACCACATTCTTTTTCTTTTGCCAGCAAAAAAAATGTCCCAAGACCTTAAAGAGCCCCTATTTTGCATTATAAAAGGTAATATTTTGGTTTTGGGCAGGGCCAGAGTGGGACTCCTTTTCAGCTCTGGAGTTTCAAGGCTTAGAGCGGCCCACTTCAGTTCACAACTGAACTGACTATATTAAAATAACATAATTTCCAATTCAGTACTTCACAGTGAAGATTTTTGTTGAAAAGTTAACACAATGTAATGTTTAACAAGATCCAAATCTATTTTCTGTAAGAATTAGTGCACATAAATATCCAAACTGTGAAATGGAAAAATATCAAATAAATACAAATATATATTATTTTATATGTATAAAATAAAGATTAAAATTAAATGTGTTGAATTCTCTAATGACACTATCATGTCTTTTTCAAGGAAACAGCTGCTTTTTTAACTTCAAATATTTTTCATATGAGAACATCAAAGGATAGCTAACACCAACACTCCAACATCTCCAACACTACTCTTTAAAACTTCACAATGTCCTTTTCTTTAATATCTGAATATATATTGTGTGCTAAATTGTTCACAGATATCCAGTCCTTAAACATAAATAAAAAAATAAAACAAGTATTGCACTGTTATATGCCGGACATTTTTAACCACAGTATTACTTTCTAATGGTGGCTTCATGTTTTTTCCCCTTTATAGCTTTCTGCCCAAGTTAAGTCAGCTTTATTAATGTAGTGAATCAACTGATTTCATTAAGCAGGTGTAATATTCATTAATTATAATAATAATTATTCAAATTCTAATTTTCACACAATGACATTCTAGTGTGTTGGGCTCATGACTGGTGCTTTGTGGTGTTCACTGTTGGCTCTTCACTGTTAGCAGCAAGCTGGACTGATGATGAGCTACAGTACAAGAAAACATTCGGTACATAAATGGTGGTTTGCTGACATAGATGTTTTGCACTGCTCCTAACTAGCTAAATGTTAATTTATTTGCTCTTCATGTGTTGTTGAACTCTTACTGCCACTGGTTTTTACGAAAAATATACTCAGCTATGTTAATTCTGGCCTTTTCAGTGCCACCTTTGCACGATTTTTCATCTCTCGCATATCGCTCAACAAATGATTAACACTTTCATTGTCTTATCATTTTTTTTTTGCGTTTATTTTTGCTTAATTATCCCAACGACTCTGATATGATTTGTTCAGCGATTCTTTTGTTCCCAAACCCCTTCTTTGCGTGAGGCTAATTTGTTGTAATTGGTCCGATGACCCAGTCTGTTGTGATCAGTCAACTGGGTTCAGCATGAGATGAGAAACAACAATGAAGTAGCACACAGAGTGTGTGAGCCCAATGCAGGAATGCAATAAAGCAATGCAGTTAAACACCAGTATATTACTTTACTCTTAACCCTAACCCCACGTAATAACAACGACACACATTCAGTATTAATCCACACAGCGGCAAAAGTTGAACTATTTTGAAAATTGACCGCGCTTCACATATGAGAAACAGCTGATGGTTCAGAAGAGCATTTAGATCTGTAAAGGAGAAGCATACGTTGCGTTTTTAACTTTTTTTTGACGCAATATGCGAATAGCCTCATACAGATTTAACCTGAGAGATACAGTACAAGCTGATCTATATTAGATAAGTGATTACAAGCTGCGTGGAGCAATTACAATTGCAACAAACAATTAAATACATATTTTGCAAACTACACAAAACGAGGCAACAATATTAATTACACTTAAATGTTAAGATCCTGAGGAAGAAGAAACTGGTCCATTTTAACTGCAACAGTCACTGACAAAGTCCCTGTCAAAATCAAAGTCCCATACACGATAGTCTCTGCTGCTTCTTTGATAGCAAACGGCTGGCGAACTCTGCGTTGCAGCATAGGTTATTGTATCAAAACACAGAAAAATGACAGGAACAAACACAGTACATGGTTGGCAATACTGTGGTATTGTTGTGAAAATTAACTTCAACCCTTTATCCCCCACAGCTGAATCTCCATCTGTCAGTGATCGTCATCTTCGCATCATGATCAGTCTTGTGATCCCAGTTGCTCTGCTAGTGTCTGAACGTAAAGGCGCGTTCATATTTTACCGAATCCGGTACTACATATTTGGTGATGTACCGTATCAACGGCGACGTGTTTAAGCAAAAGATCCGAACCCAGGACAATTCATTTATTCGACTCTGAGTCGACTATTTCATTAAAGAATCAATCATTTTTGAACACCGTGCTCTTTCAGATTTAAACATCAACTGAATGTTTTCATTCACTAAATGCTACAGTATGTGACACACTGCAGGGAAGCTTATTTAAAAAAATAATAATAATAATAACACGAGCTCTTTAATAATAAAAATAAATAAATAAATAAATAAATAAAAATTCTTCAGGCAAGCTATAGGAAATGTATTAATACATGGAAATACTTGCATTCAGTACATCTTAGTCAGTCCTTCATATCGTAATGCACATTGTTGGAACATTTATCATGTTAGTGAATGTTCTCGGTCTGCCGTAAGCTTATTCTGTAGAAATACAGCAAGGCCATTAATTCTATTAACCTAAGCCTCTTAAAGCTAGAGTTCCTGTGGAGGGGCACAATATATTACATTTATCCCAGCTGTAGGCCTTCCCGCTGTGGGTTTGTGTATGTGTGTATGTACTTACTGACCTTCCCTTATCAGGTCGCCTGTGTGTGTTTGCAGATATACGAAAATGTTCTGGATCAGTGGAAGCCATAATAACACTCCTAGCCCTGTGCACTAGACCGCTTTAGGGTCTCTGTCCTTGAACTTAGCCCACCGCCATAACTTGATTGCCTGCTAAATTATTCATTTGAACATCAGAGGCGGACATATGAGCTCTTCTTTTTTTCAGCTTCTTGTCATTTTGTGTTTAGGTGTTGACGGATGGATGAACCTAACAGAGATTGACCCAGATGAGGAGGTGCAAGGGGAGATTCACCTCCAGATCTCAGTGCTGGGAGATGGAGATATCCCACGGAAACTGTGCTGCCAGGTCCTAGAGGCAAGGTGAGGAGTTGGATTAGCTATATATACTGTATAAACAAGTTAGGTTTCAGATTTCAGGTCATTAAATAAACAAGTAAATAAGTAAAAACGCACATAAATCACAAAAATACAAAGATTTGGTTGGATTGCAGCACCAAATTTTTCTGCTTAATGAAATTCATTCATTCATTCGTTTTCTTTTCAGCTTAGTCCCTTTATTAATTCAGGTTTGCCACAGCGGAATGAACCACCAACTTATCCAGCACTAAGTGTTTTACAGCTAAATTATTAAATGAGGGCTAAAAGACAAACAAAGCACCTTTAACGCTGAAAAAAAAATTATTAATTACTGATTTTTTTAAGGTAAGTGGTTGAAAACAATTTATATTGGCTGAATTTGAACAAAGTATGATCAAAGTTGAACATTACTAAATTTGTTCAAATTCACTTACATAAAAAAGTAAATCCAGTTTTTTTTCAGTGCAGTTAAAAGTAATAAATAGTTATTAAAAATAAAAACAATATAGACATGGGCAAGTTTAAACAGGTCAGTTTTCAGCTGCTTCTTGAAAGTGTCTACAGAGCATTCCACTATTTGGGAGCAATTACCTTAAAAACACAGCCTCCTTTTGTCTTCCATCTAGAATGAGGAACAACTAACAGGAACTGGTTTGAGGATCTCAGATTCCTACTTGAGTTGTAAGGTTTCAACGTCTCTTTTTAAGGTCATGCGGTGAACAAAAAACATTTTGAGAATTCTAAAAAGAATTCTCGATTTGACAGGGAGGCAGTTTTGAGAGATAAGTTATAGAGAAAAAAAAGTGTTGCAAACTTTGAAAGATGCCTTCAACATAGATCTGGATACAAATCCACTTATGGCCATTTTTGGGCTGTCAGTAGATGCTAACTATTTAGTATTGTTCTGAAAGGCTTTAGCTTTTACTACTTTACTAGAAAGACGTCTCATCCTATATATTACATTTTTTGTTATATAAAACAAACCTGGGAAAATCACAGATTTATTCCAAACTTTCTTCTGTCAGCAGGCAGCACAATGATTGTGACTCAATGTTAGCATGTAAATGTCTTCAGGAGAGGAATCTCGTCACACCTGTAAATTTTCAGGCATATCGAGCATTGTGTGGCTGAGTTATAAGTACTTCCTTTTCCATGAAAAAACACTGATCTGTCAGTCTGCCACAGACTTCATCGAAAACTAAAGCCTGCAGGGACACCGGCCCTTCAGGACCGAGATTGGTGACCCCTGGTCTAGGAGAAGCTTGTTAAACTGTAAAATTTGTCATTTCCTGTTGCCAACAGGTGGCGCTATGTCTGTAACTAGATGTTGGCATGTAAACATGCTCATGTCAGGACTCCTATCAAACATGTGTCATTTAAGGCAGACAACACATGTCTGAGTTATAACAACTTCCTGTTTCATGGCGTAACATCAAAGTTTGTGACACACCCTTCGACGAAAGCTCTAGATCTTCGCAATTTAACATCAATTTAACATTCGCAATTTGTTATCTAAAAGCCTTTAGATAACAATAACAATTTTGGTGTTGATCTGATAAAATCTCTAAGAGGAGTTTGTTACAGTACAATGCCTGGAAATGGCAAAATCTGCACTTTTTTGGCAGAGGAAATCAGAAAGTATCCGACTTCCTGTTGATGATGACTGATGGTGATGACAGACAGTACATATTATTTGACTAGATAATTTTCAAGACACTATTATTAGTAATCAACTTAAAGAATTTCTACAGAGGAAAAAATATTATAGTAGATACTGTGAAAATATTCCTTTATCTATTGAACATAATTTGTGAAATATTTGAAAAAGAAGAAGGAGGCCTAATTATTTTTATTTCATCTGCAGTCACGATTAGTGTTGTGTGTTATTCAAACATAAAGAAACAGATATAACCAGCCATGCACAAAAATAAAATGTCCTCAGTGTATGTGAATCAGGCATGGACTGCTGAAATGGGGATTGGGAGATTTCATCTTCATAAGCTGTGTTTGGATTTGTGTTTAATAGCTTCATGTACTTTCGGCTTTATTTCTAGAGATCTTGCGAAAAAGGATCGCAACGGGGCCTCTGATCCTTTTGTCCGAGTGAGATACAATGGGAAAACGTATGAGAGCTCGGTAAGGATGTAGTACTTCTGTAAGCCTCTCATTTGATCTGCCACACTAGAAAGGTCTGTTAACCTTGATTCTGCTTCCCTCCAGGTGGTTAAAAAGTCCTGTTATCCTCGCTGGAACGAGAGTTTTGAGTTTGAACTGGACGAGGCGCTGACTGACAGTCTACTGAGTGTGGAGGTGTGGGACTGGGATCTGGTCAGCAGAAATGACTTCCTGGGAAAGGTGAAGTACATTTCCTGCATGGAGCACTAAGAGATTTGGATTAGAAGATGTTTTGGACTTCGCCTTTGCCTTATTTAACATAAAATATAAAAGATTAAAATAAGTAGTACAAAAAAAGGTGTGTTTTAAAGGGAAGTTCACCTAAATGTCATCATGTTTTTACTGTAAGATTAGTACACACGTGATTTCTGTGGGACACAAAAATATACAGCACTGTACAAAAGTCCTAAGCACTATACCAGCTTTGGTGGCTTAAGACTTTTGCACAAGATACTATCAAGCAGTTTTTTTATTAAAAACAAATTTAAATAAAAAGAAAATAGCAAATAGGTACAAAAAACCAACAACAGCACAACATTTCATCTTCAAGCTGAAGTCTATGTTTAATGTGGCTTCCCTTGGCACCAAGCAAAACGTTCGAGGTTACAGAAGTAACCCTTCGTTCCCCGAGGAGGGGAACGGAAGTGCCATAGAGTGGATTGATTGAAATCCACGAAATGGGACGATTCGGTTCAGAAGCCGCTTGTCTGAAAGAGTATTGAACGGGCCAATGAATGCAATGAATTGGCAGCGTAAGCTTGCACAGGTGTACTTCATTGCCAATTATCCCAGCATATAAGCACACCTGGAGCGAGCAGACGCCATCCTTTTAAGCTGAAGAGACTTTCAAACAGCTAAGGGACAGTCATTATGGCGACGGAGTATGGCACTTCCGTTCCCCTCCTCGGGGAACGAAGGGTTACTTCTGTAACCTCGAACGTTCCCCTTCGGTTGGGGAACTTCAGTGCCATAGAGTGGATTGATTGAAATCCACGAAATGGGAGAAGTATGGAAAGCGCCATAATGACTGCACCTTACCAACGCCCCCGATGAGGGGATTGTCAAGCAAGCGTGACGCACCCACATCATGGGAGGCTCGGTCCTCCAACGTGTCCCTGGCCCTAATTTATCCTACTTCAACAGAAGTTTTACGGATTTAGATATATTTTTTGGGAAGTCGTGAGCATCTAGATAATTCTAGGAAAATACGACAGTACGTTGGGAAGCATGCAATCCCTATAGGGAGGACGCTGCGGAGGCCATCCGTTACCCAAGGGGGGATAGATGGCAGAATTTACATATGGACTAGCCCTAAAAAGGGGGAGTACGCATAGCAAAAGAGTGGTTAGCGGGGAGGGAAGACACGGGTCCGCCCAGGGGGGGGGGACTTAACCGTGGCGGAATAAGCATATGGGATCGCCTAGTGGGGATCACGCATAGCAGGCACCTTTACCCAAAACGCGGGCTGACCAGCGGGCAGACCTACAACGTAGTGGGCCAGCAAGCGACTACTCCGCTGAGTCAGTGCTGGAGGCCACGGAGGAATCTGCAGGGCTCACCTGACGGGGAACTTTACTGACAGATAAAAAGGCGCATGTACCTCCGTGTTAGGGAGAATGGCGCAGCAAGCGTGTTATAACACCCTACCGAATTGTTTCCTCAATCACCAAGGGTTACCTAATACCCTTGAGGAAACCGGCTTCACTCACAGATTGTAAAACCTTGCAAATGTGTTGGGTGTCACCCAGCCCGCAGCTCTACAGATGTCTGTTAGAGGGGCGCCGCGTGCGTGCGCTCGAGAGGATGCGAAGCTCCGAGTGGAGTGCGCACGCGCTCTCGGGGGACGCGGCTCATCTCGGCTCTGATAGTGAAAGAAAGGCATCCACAATCTAGTGGGAACTTATTTCGGTACGGCACTTCCCTGCTGCCGACCGCCATAACAGACGAAGAGCTTCTCAGATGATCTAAACTCTGAGTGCGGTCCGGATAATACGCAAAACGCGAACTGGACAATAAAGAAGGGCTGGGTCTGCCTCCTCCGAGGGCAGCGCTTGCAGGCTCACTACCTCGTATTAAAACGGAGTGGTAGGAACCTTGGGCACATATTGCGGGCGGGGTCTCAGGACGTGAGAGAAAGCCAGCCCAATTACAGGCACGAGTCACTGACCGACAAATGCCTCCGGGTCCCCGACCCTCTAATCGATATCAACGCGACCAGCAGAGCTGTCTTCAGGGACAGAAAGATACTGAGTCGAGGATCGAAGGGATCTGATGCGGCTTTTGTAGCGAGGGCGAGATCCTAAGAGGGCATGAGAGGGGATTAATTCGCTTAGCGCCCCTGAGGAACCGGATGATGAGGTTATGCGTTCCCACGGTGCTGCCAGCCACCGCGTTATGAGAGCGGAGATGGCAGCCACGTAACCTTGAGTGTGGAGGGCGACAGCCTGCTCTCCAGCTTCTCTTGGCGTAAAGAAAGCACAACGCTGATCTGGCAAATTACGGGGGTCTTCTCAGCGAGAGACACACCATTCAGTGAATAGACTCCACTTCAGGGCATAGGCGCGCTCGGGGCTCTAGCCCGAGTGACGGTATTAGCCACCGCAATCGGAGGTTACCTAAATCTTCCTCGCGTCTAATGACCTCCAAAGATCGGCGAGGGTGCCAGGTGGTGCCCTGTCCCTGAGAGAGTAGGTGCTTTCTCAAAGGGACTGCCAGGGGAGGGCTATCGCGAGGGAGAGCTCTGACATCCAGGTCCGGTTGAGCCAGAGGGGCGCAACCAGCAACCTGTTCCTCGTCCTCCCTGACCTTGCACAGTAACTGCGCGAGCAGGCTCACTGGGGGAAACGCGTATTTGCGCATGCCCCGAGGCCAGCTGTAAGCCAGTGCATCCATGCCAAGAGCACTCGGTCAGGGAAAGAACAACTGGCAATGAGCGATCTCGGGGGAAGCAACAGATCGATCTGGGCTTCCCCGAATCGCGCCCATATCAGCTGAACAGACTCGGGGTGGAGTCTCCATTCTCCAGGACGTGAGAGCGCATCGGCTGCACGGTTGAGCTTGCCTGAATATGAATGGCGTGCAGCGATTTTAGCCGCGGATGACTCCAGAGGAGCAGACGGCGGGCGAGCTGAGACATGCGGCGAGAGCGCATACCCCATACGGCTGATATACGCCACCGCCGCCGTACTGTCCGTCCTGACCAGCACGTGTTGCCGCTCCAGCACCGGTGGAGAGCGAGGAACACTGCCAACAGCTCCAGGCAATATGCCAATGCAGCTGGGTACCTTTCCACAGGTCCGCAGCCGCATGCCCGCAACGCACAGCCCCCCAGCCCGTGTTGGAAGCGTCTGCTGAAACGACAACAAGACTGGACGCCTGTTCTAGAGACACCCAGGCCTGTAGGAACGAGGGGTCGCTCCAAGGGCTGAGGGTGCGGCGACACAGCGCAGTAACAGAGACTCGGTGTGCGCGCGCGTGCCATGCGCGTCTGGGGACTCGATCGTGAAGCCAGTGCTGAAGTGGTCTCATATAGAATAATCCGAAGGGGAGGACTTTGTATTGCCAAGCTCGACCTTCAAACGCAAACCGCAGAAACTGACGGTGGGCGAGGAAGAGTGGAGACATGGAAATACGCGTCCATCAGGTCTAATGCTGCAGACCAACCCAGAGGACGAACGCACCGGAGGATGCGCTTCTGCGTGAGCATTCCGCATGCCCGCAACGCACAGCCCCCCAGCCCGTGTTGGAAGCGTCTGCTGAAACGACAACAAGACTGGACGCCTGTTCTAGAGACACCCAGGCCTGTAGGAACGAGGGGTCGCTCCAAGGGCTGAGGGCGCGGCGACACAGCGCAGTAACAGAGACTCGGTGTGCGCGCGCATGCCATGCGCGTCTGGGGACTCGATCGTGAAGCCAGTGCTGAAGTGGTCTCATATAGAATAATCCGAGCGGCATGAAGCGGCTGCGGATGCCATATGCCCCAGGAGCCTCTGAAATAGTTTCAGTGGGACCACTATTTTACTGTCGAGCTCTCTCAGACAGTACAGCATCAGCTGAGCGCGCTCTCCAGAGAGGCGCGCTGCCATGGTGACCGAGTCCAGCTCCAGCCCGAGAGAAGAGATCCTCTGCATGGGGGCGAGTTTGCTCTTTTCTCGGTTGACCTGAAACCCCCACAGGTGGAAGTGCCAGAGCACTTTGTCTCTGTGCATAATCAATTGCTCCAAGAGAGGGCAAAAATCAGCCAGTCGTAAAGAAATCGAGTATGCAGATGCCCGCGAGCCGAAGGGGCGCTGAGGCACCCTCCGCGGGCTTGGTGAGGACCCGCGGAGACAGAGAGAGCCCGAAGGGGAGGACTTTGTATTGCCAAGCTCGACCTTCAAACACAAACCGCAGAAACTGACGGTGGGCGAGGAAGAGTGGAGACATGGAAATACGCGTCCATCAGGTCTAATGCTGCAGACCAACCCAGAGGACGAACGCACCGGAGGATGCGCTTCTGTGTGAGCATTCTGAACGGCAGCTTGTGCAGGCAGCGGTTCAAAACGCGCAGATCTAGGATTGGCCGTGACCCACCGCTCTTTTTGGGCACGATGAAGTGTGGGCTGTAAAACCCGCTCTCCATCTCGGCTGGAGGGAGCGGCTCGATTGCATCCTTCGCCAGGAGGACAGCAATCTCCTCTCGCAAGACAAGGGCGGACAGGGGGCTGACCCTGGTGAATACACACCCGCGACTTGGGGGGCCGTTTCGCGAACTGAATCGCATAGCCGAGTCTGATTGTGCGTATGAGCCACCGCGAAGAGCTGGCCCGCGCTAACCAGGCAGGCAGAGCTCCCGCTAATGGACTCATCGCTACAATCGCTGACGTACCAGCAGTGGGGCAGCGCGGAGTGGGTGTGCTGATCCGGGAAGCTCGCGGGTCCCACGGAAAAGCTGGAGGTGAGATATTTGCTCTCACTCCGAACCCGAGCTCCGGAGGGGAGGCTCGAGGGGTGGGAGAAAGGAGACCGTCCTCCCAGCGCTCGTGAGCCACTGGCGAAACGCACCGAATCTGCAAGCTAGAAAGCATAGCGTCCCAGACTGGCAGATTTCGGGCTGTCACATCTGGGGAAGTGAAAAGTGCCCTTTCATAATGTTTTCATGGCAGTAAAAAGTGCCGTTGTGAAATGGGGCCCCGCCCTCC